GAATTGTCCCTGGTGGAACGGATGGATATAGAGGTAGTGTTTTCTTCAACCACTTTGCGCCGTGGGATGATCGATCATCAAAGATTCTGAGATCAAGATGGCCAAGAGTGGGGATGCCTGTTTGCCTTTATGTTCCAATCATGACTTTGAGGAAGCTTGGGGGAAGAATTTCGGAGAATTCCTACACTGTTGTTTTTAGAGAAGTTCCATGGAGATGTGTACGAGGTGCTTGGTATTGGGACGATCACGTTCAGGCATGGAGGAGACTCCTGCTGGGAAGCACTGGAGAGCAAGTTGTTCTAGCGGCACATCATGGACTTTGGGTTGCTCAGAAGCATACCATCCTCGAGAGAGCCGACGAAGTCACGAAGTCAGCCTCGGCGACAGATGACAACGTCCAAAAGCTCGTGTCCCTTATCGATGAAGTACGATTCGATGACAATGGAGAGCTGATCGAGGATTCCATCAGTGAGGAAACTTGGGACGAAATCATCTCCAGAACATGTGAAGGGTATCGCAACGTGGATGGCAATATTTTGTGTCCATCATGTATGCATTTGACTTCTTCATCTTTGTCCGTGTGTCTATCTTGTCAAGGCAGGCTACTCTCGTGTGGTATTCGCAACACTGTCATTTCCGATTCACCCGTTGATCTTGTGAGCGACGATGAAGAGGAAAAGAAGGAAGAGAAGGAGCCTGAAGATGATGATCAAGATATATTGGACCAGGCCACTATGGACGAGATCAGAAAGGCTTGGGAAGAAGACATCGCTCAAACTGAAGCAGCTGACGACGACGAGGACATGGACAATCTAGATCCTTCCAAACCGTCTGATGGTGCAGAAAACTTCAAGAGTGACAATGTCGAGACCCCATCTTTCAATGAGGACGAGATCGACTACGGTCGTGATTCTGATCTAGAAGATGAAGACGAACGAAACGTGATCATCGAGATCCAGAGGAGCACACAACAATATGAGGGGAAGAAACGTCAAGATGGTGAGCCCGAGGATGAAGACGTCGCCGACGACTTACATCCGGAGGCGAATCGACCGACAGATCGCGATGAACCGGGATACTATGCACAGCATGGAGCGACCGAGTTCAATCCCGAAGAAGGAAGAGACAACGAAGATCTCCCCATCTATTGTCGAGTACCGGAACCTCGAATCTATGCGCATCAAGAGAGAGCCTACTGTCAGGACGTCTCCGTGAAAGCATCGGGTTTGATGGATAGGTATGTGGTCAAATGTGTGCTGAACATGATCTCCCTGATGTACAAGAGCTACTATTGCACCAGCCTTACCGACTTCAAAGCAAATTGGAAAAGGAAGCGTCTGGACGTGATAAGCAAGTTCGGTACAGGAGATTCCACTGAAATCGATGACGATGGGAGACCATTGGATCCAACAGATGATATGATGTTAATCTTTGCCAACGACAACAATATTACAACTGAGGAGGCCTGGCACCGATTCAGAGGAGAGCAATTCATTTGCAAGGTAGCACTCATGATCCTATCATTTGGTCATACTCCGCAATCCTTCAAGGAGGAATATGGCAACTTCGAACACTCCACCAACTTGACTGATGCCCAGCTTGAGGAGTTGAAAGCGAAGAAAGCCAGCGCAATGACTGAATTGGTACAGAAGTGCATCCATGCGATTTATGGTTGTCGGACATATTCTTACTTTAGAACCGACGTTACATCACCCAACCACAAGGTGATCGATCCTCTGGACATCATGTACTCGAGAATGAAGAGCAAATGGGAGAAGTCTATTCTGTTGATCATTGATCAACATGAGATCAGGTTACCCCCACAAGCTCAGGAAGTCATAGAGTCAATGGCCAGAAACCCCAACGTTGGACATACAGAGAGATGGATGAGCGTGGTAGAACATAAGCATGTTCAAGCTCTTACCAATCGTCTAGGCTTTGGAGATAGGGCCAAGGAGATTCAGGGCAAGAAGAAGCAGGCAGCCAAGGCAACAGCTAAGTCAACATCAACGACTAAGTCTGAAGCGAAAGCAGCATCTTCGTCAAGAGCTGAGGCAAAGCCAGCATCTACACCCAGAACCGAGGCCAAGCCGTCGTCAGCACCAAGTGAGGAGCAAAAACCTTCAACAGCACCTAAGAGTTTCGGGCCCTCATCAGCAGAGGAGAACAAGGCGAAGGCTGCTCCAAAAGCCAGACCACATGATAAATCACCATCCAGTGCTACCGATGTGTTTGAGCAAGCTTTGCAGGAAGATCTTGCCGCCAACACACATGCAGCAGAAGGTACAACTTCTTCATCATCCCGAGGACATTCCAAAGGGGGAGGCCAATCTGGAACATCTTGGAGGCCGGCGCTAACGCAAGAACGTCGCGAAGTACCTCAACCTTCTGAAAAGGGAAAGGGAAAGAGCAAGTCCAAGGGAAAGTCCAAGAAGGGAGAAGATGATCGGTGGGATGCTCAGGGCAGCTGGGATCATCGTGGATGGAGAGGTTATCACCAGTGGTGATTTCTTTGAACGACTATGAGGATACCATGCAAACCAGGGAGGAAGTCATTCACCGGATGTCTATCTGACCTGAAACGCTGTAAGTGTATCATTGCAAATCGTCAATCTGATTTGATACCATGAGCATAATGGAAGGAAGACAATCACCGACTGTCTCTCCGACTTGCCGTTCTGTAAGTGTATCCAAACCAAAACCTACATCTTTTGAGAAGTGTGAAGTCAGTTGCCGATGTGACATCTACGTGGAAGTCACCAGTTCGGATCTACATCAAAGCGATGCTCTTTTGAGTGGATACTGAGCGAGGCCTCGTGACTGTCTCACTTGTTCAATTCGATTTTTCATAGGTTCTGAGCCATAGTTGCACACTTTATATGTAAAAGTCCGCTTTAGTCCAGCATGCTTCGTAGTATGAGCCTCATATGAGTCTCGCGGCAAATCATACAATTTCTTTTGTAGCACTTACATCCCTAAATTTTCGTGTGTGATCGGAACATATTGTTGCCGTTCACATGGGGGGTGCGAATGGAAGTGCAGCGACACGTACAGTGCAACTTGTACATATATATGTACCATATGTACTTTGGCTCAAGGATCAAGCGACTAGAAAAGGTGCGGTTTCCGTTCCGACGCTACGCCGCTTATGGACCGTCAGTGATAGCTTCAAACTTCGCTGATTAAGATCCACTCGCAATATTTATACACAATCTTTTGGAAAGTAGCTTGAATTTCAATTGTATAGATTATTGTATACAGTTGAGGTGAGCATCCGCCCTCATTACGAACATGAGAATTGGACGGGCACCCGGCGTCAACTGCGCCGTTGGCAGCGTGGCGAGACTGGCTTCCCTCTGGTGGATGCCGCAATGCGTCAGCTGTGGAAGGCTGTTGAATCATGCTGAAAGGACACACATACAAATGATTCATGATTCATGATCAATTGCACGGGAAACTCAAAGATATGGACCGTGCACGAACCAGAATTGGCTTACAACATGTTCAGTTTCAAGTTGTTAAGTTGTTTGTTAGAACATGAAGCATTTCCAATGAACACATAGCATGCTGGGATACATGTAGCTGTACGCCATGCACATAGGCCCAAATCAAGGTGTCCAAAACGGCGCGCTTTACTTTTCATGGTAGCGGAGCTCTGTGGGTAGGCCCCACATCTCCAGATAACCTTTGGGGGATAATCCACCTGGGATTCATCGGTCTGTCGAAATCCCGGACAGATCAGTATCCGGGTCTCGCTCATGGCCGGTCTGGATGATGGCGCTGTGGGACCAGCGGCTGAGCCGGCATCCTCCACTGGTGCCGTGAATGGGGTGCAGGGGCTGGTGCAAGCGCTGCACGGACTGATCGAGGTGCAGCGGAATTCAGGTTTCATCAAGCACTTGAAGCCCCCCACGACTTTCTCCCCAGAGAACAGAGGTGAAGAGTTGAACAAATGGATGGATTGGCGGTTTCAGTTTGAAACGTTTGTTGGGGCAGTCGACCCGACCATGCTGGCCCACATGAAGAATGCTGAAAAGGAAGAGTCAGTGATCAACGACGGACTCCCTTCGGTGAGACCCCAACCTGAGAGGCTGTATTCATTGCTGACAGGCCTCATGAAACAACGACCTTTGCGTTTAGTGCGAGGTGTAGCCGGACAGAACGGCTTGGAGGCCTGGCGGGTGCTCACCAAGGATTTGCAGCCCCGAACACGGCAGCGGTCATTGGCCCTCATCCAGTCCTTAAACAAGGTCCAGTTCGATGGAGACAGAACAGTGACTGAGCAGCTCCCGCAGTATGACCTGCTGGTGAGGGAGTATGAGAGGAGCGCCAATGTGACATACCCGGACGACTTGAAGATTGCCTCGGTGATAGCTGCCTTGCCCGCCACACTCAGGCTCCACGTGCAGATGACGTTGCAGGATGACACGACTTTTGAAGATCTGAGGCAACGCATCGAGATGTATGAGCAGGTGAGCCAACGATGGATGAGTGATGGCACTATGCAGATGAATGTGAAGCCCCTCATGCATCAGGAGGACCGTGGTGGACCAATGGAGGTTGATGCTGTTTGGTCAAAAGGAGGAAAGAAAGGGGGCAAGAAAGGAAAGAAGGGCAAGGAGAAGGGAAAGAATTCGAAAGGAAAAGGCTCATGGTCCAAGGATGGAGGCAAGAAAGGTGGCAAAGGAGGAAAGGGGTCAGGAAAACAAGATGGAAAGAAAGGCAAGACCGGAGTTGGGAATTGCCACAACTGTGGCAAACCAGGGGGGCATTTTGCCCGTGAATGTTGGGCCCCCAAGAGAGTGAGCAAGGTAGAAGATCAAGAAGCTGCAGAGCTCAACAAGAATGGACAAAGCAGCCAACAAGGAAAAGATCAAGGCCAAAGTGGTGGAGCGTCAACTGGCCCGTCGTCCCACTCCACCTATCGAGCTGGAGTCAGGAGGGTGAGGCTAGTCACGCCTACAGGCTTGGCGACTATGGAGATCTTCGATTTGACCCAGGATGACTCGCCAGAGGAGCCGGTCCAGTCAGAAGATGAGGAGATGGCATGGGCCATCAACATGGTGATGGAGGTGCAGGACAGTGCACTTGACGAAGAAGAGATCTTCTACGATTGCCACAATGGAGATGAGGAAGAGCCGCCAAGTACTTCATCATTGGAGGAGACAGTGAGCTGAGATGCACGAGCCCAATGTGAGGACACAGAACTGGATATGTTTAGAGTGTGCATGGTGAAGAGCGTGGCGCCCACAGTCATCATGACCCTCAACTCTGGGGCAGATGTTTCTGTTGCACCTGAGGAGTACTACCAGATGGGTCATCCAGGACAGCAACGATCAGTGCAGATGGTCGATGCACAAGGAGAGGCCATTAAAAGTGCTGGAAACCGCAGGTTGAGGCTCCAAGCTCACACGCGGAATGGAGACGTGGTGGAATTCGTGGAGCAGTTTGCATTGGGAGTTGGAGTGACACATCCATTGCTAAGCTTTGGCCGACTCCTGAGACAAGGATGGGTGCTGTCGCGTGATCAACAAGGTCTATGCTTGGAGCACCCTGAGAAGAAGATGCAAATCCCAGCCAGACTCGAAAGGAACTCTCTGGTCATGGATGTGAAGGTCTGTGCAATTCGAGCTGAAGAAGATATGGATGAAGAGCAGAAGAAGGAGATTGAGGCCATGGCGGCAAATGACAGAGCCCAAGGCGAAGAAAGAAAAGAGGAGAAGAAGATTCCCGAGGAGGCAGAAGCAGATCGAGGAGTGAAGAGAAGTGCAGAGGAGCAGGCAGAAGCAGAGAAGGCAGCCAAGGAAGAAGAAGAGACCTTGGCACTGATGAAAGAGCTCTCCGCACAGGTGGTGACTGATGATGACGTTCAGGTGGAAGAGAATCCCATGAAGAAATCGCGGCTGAAGGAGAATGAGGAAACTCCACAACGATCACCTGGCTACACCACCGAAGAGTCAGGAGGAGAGATCATGGTCGAAGGAAGCAGCAGCGAAGATGGAAAAGTGCAAGAGAAGCTGGCTCGATGGGAGAAATGGAGGTTGAAGAGTGTCGAGGTCAAGAGTGAGCCAATGGAGCTAACAGATAGCCCAATGGAGGAGTTGACAGAGGCCGGACAACATGTGTTCCCTGTTCGGGGAGAAGGGCACTCACTACATGGCTTCATTTCAAGAGAGCTAGGCCTGCTGGAGAAAGTGCCGGGATGGCACGCTTTGCCGAATGGGATAGTGGTGCACTCGAGTCTGCAGGCAACCCATTTCCTTGACCCCAGCATGTCCTTTGGCCCTGAATGGTGTGGACGTATGACTCTTGTAAAGAAGAAGGACAATTCAGGTGCTTGGGAGCAGATTGAAAGCTTAGCGGCATACAAGGACTCGCCACTGCCTTTTCGAGCCCTACCGGCAGGACCAAGGTCAGCTTTGACGTTCGTGGCTCCAGGACTGATTCGGGACTACTTCGTGATGAACTCGGAAGTCCCGGTGAGCCAATACCCACTGTTGAGTGGAGAACCATCTTCTTGGCCCGATGACGAGAGAGATGAGGAAGGAGGAGAGTTTCCCATGCTTGCAGCAGGCAGCGGAGGACGAGCAGAGGTCCTGGAAGACATGGAGTTCGTGGACCCTGACGAGCTGAGAGTGCAGATCGATGAAACATGGTTTGACAAGGAAACAAAGCTCAAAGATTTACAAGAAATCTGCAAGCAGCTCGGATTGGCCACATCAGGATCCAAGACTAAAGTCCTGAGGAGGTTGCAACGGTACAAGCATCAGCAGGAGGAGAAGATGGCATATGAAGTTGCACAAAGATTGTTCGCTGAAAGCAGGAGAGAAGCCATTCCTCTGAAGACACCAAAGTTGCCCTCTCGACATGAACAAGAACTGCACCAGTTGACACATCTCCCTTTTCAGCCGTGGTGTCAGCAGTGTGTTGCAACAAGATCAAAAGAGGACCCACGAATGAAGGAAGAACGAAGTGACAGGAAGGATAGAGGTCGACCGGTGATCAGCTTTGACTATGGGTTCACCTACACGGCCGACGCACCAGAAGAGAAGCAGTGGGGCACAGCCTTGTACGTGGCTGAATCAGAGTCCAAAGCCACGCTATGCATTCCTGTCCAGGCGAAAGGGAGTGCATCGTTGAAGCAGGTGACAGAGGAGCTGACAAGATTCAGTATGCAAGTTTGCAACACCCAACCCATCATCTTCCAGTCGGATGGAGAGAGAGCCACTCGGCAGGTGCTCAGGGCAATTCAACATGCCCGTGCCTCCCTTGGTCTGACCACAGAAGTTAGAACAACCTCAAGAGACCAGCGTGCGTCCAACGGTCAGGCCGAGAGAACAGTCCAGTCTGTCCGCAAGCTAGCCAACACATTGAGGCACTATGCAGAAGAAAAGAGTGGCGTGAAAATCACTGGAGATATGCATTGCTAGCCCTGGAGCTTTAGACATGCCGCTTGGTTGATGCTTCGATACAGGGTGATCAATGGAGCCACATCGTTCGAGATGCTCACGGACCGTCAATATGTTGGCAGGGTGGCACTATGGGGTGAGACAGTGCTCTTCAAAGATTTCACCTCTTTCAAGCACAAAGGTGAACCAGTCTATCGACGAGGTGTCTGGGTTGGCAAAAGTTCATGGAGCGATAGCCACATCTGTTTGACGAGATCTGGGGCTGTAGAAGCCCGTTCTATCAGGAGGCTTCCCGAGCAGTTTGATGGCCATGATGCTGATCCACTGCCGTGGACTCCCGTGGCAATATTCGGTCCAAGGCATTCTTATGAAGACAAAGTTTGCAGCGCGACAACGCTTGGCCGAAGCAGCTGAAGAAGCCACAGGGGAAGAGCAAGTGGAGAAGGAAGCAAAGATGATTGGTGAAGAAGTGGCCATGAGAATGTATGGACATGGTCCTATCACACCAGGTCCAGCTCCAGAGGGATATCCAAAGACACCTGCCAGGACACCGGCGGCGCCAACAACAGCAAGCAAGACACCGGCACTACGAACACCAGTGGTCGTGCCTATGCCTGCAACACCTGCCCGTCCAGTGCCCAGGACTCCAGCAGCACCAGAACCACCAAGAGAGGCCAAGAGTTCATCCTCAGATCCAAAGGAGACAGAAGTCCCAAAGCGAAAGATGGCACGTCTGCCAATCCCAGAGGCAATGCGAGGTGAACCCGCCAGGAATTTCATGTCAGAGGCATTGGAGTCTGAAGCAAGCCCAAAGAAGCAGAGGTTAGAGGAGATTGTGGGTAATCTGGCACCAGTCACCCCGCCATTGGGCACAAAGAGAGAATATGCCTTGCCGTGGGACGACGAGGATGACGAAAAGAGGAGGATGAGTCCAAAGAGAAGAGTGAACAGCATCCAAGAAGATTTTCCAGGTGGAGATGAGATGGCTGGAGAAGCTATTTTGCAGGAAGAGCTCAACCGAATCAGTGAAGACGAAGGAGGTGAGAAAGGAATTGGCAAGCCACCTGAGGTCGATGAAGAGGAGTTAGCAAAGTTGGATGCCGAAGCCTGCCGTCATGAAGAAGAAAGGTTAGAGAAGATGGGTGTCATCGAGAAGTTGAAGGATAATGAGGAGCCAGAAGAAGGATCCTATGTCCTGACATCAAAGATGGTCATCACCTGGAAGCATAGGGATGAAAAGGGAGGCTGGTTCAGGAGGGCAAGGCTCGTTGGAAGGCAGTTCAAGTGGTCAGTCTTTGCTGAAGACGCCTTCGCACCAACATCTGCGTCAGTGATCGTGAGGATGCTCCTTCGACTGCAGATGAAAAGCGGGCTGGCACTTTACACATTGGATGTGAAAGATGCGTTTCTGTTGATGGACCAGCCAGAAGATGAGAAGGCACTGGTGGTGACTGCAAATGGGACCTACCGGCTGAAGCGAAACCTGCCTGGACAACGAAATGCTGCCGCTCAGTGGTTCAAGGGTTTCTGCAAGGTTGCAACTGAGTTTGGATTGGCGCAAGACACAATGCAACCCACCATGATGAAGAAGCCAGAAGCACCCGAAGGCAGTGACACAGGTGGAAAACTCTACCTCACAATCCACGTCGATGATCTGCTTTTGGTTGGTGATGAGCCGGAGGTGGAGAAGTTCATCAGCCACATGGAAAGAAAAGGCTGGAAGACAGAGAAAAGAGGCCCACTCTACATGGGGAGCTTCAGTTATTTGAAGCGAGAGATGGAGTTGATCGAGAAAGGGATCACAATCAGGCCAGACAAACAACACATCAAGGAACTGGCCAAGCTCACCAATGTGGAGCACCGGAAGCATCGGACGACGCCTGGTGATGGAAACTTCAATCGATTGAGCAAAGATGATGAACCTATGAAGCATGAAGACATCACCAAGTACCGCAGCTGTGTGGGGAAGTTGCTCTACATATCCCCTGATCGTCCTGATGTCCAATACGTTGCACAGGGCTTAGCTGGTTTCATGCAACAGCCAACAAAGAAGAGCTGGCAAGCCATGCAACACGTGAGCTCATACCTCCTGGGAACGATGAACGAAGGAATCCTATTTGAGCACGGACCCAAAGGAAGAAGCATGCTGAACGATGATGACAACATCTATGAATGGGACTTCAATGAGGAGAAGAAGAGCATGCTGGAGGTGGTGTGTGACGCCGACTATGCCGGCCAGCGAGAGACGAGAAAAAGTGTCAGTTCAGTCCAGATTTATCTGGATGGATGTCTGCTGGAAAGCTATGTGAGAAGTCAAAGGGCCATTGCACTCTCGTCTGGAGAAAGCGAGTACGTGGCCATGGTTGGTGGACGCAGTGAAGGACTCTTTCTGAAGCACTGCTGGAAGTTCCTGACCAACGAAGACCTGGAGATGATTTGCCGGAGCGACTCATCAGCAGCTCGGGCCCTTGCAGGACGAGTTGGAGTGGGGCGTACACGCCACATTGCAGCTGGTTTGTTGTGGCTTCAACAGAAGGTGGTTGCAAAAGAGTTGAAGATCACAGGCATCCCAACAGCTGTCAACACTAGCGACATTGGAACCAAGATCTTGAGCAGGGCAAGAATGAGTGGCTTGAAGTACCTGATCAAGATGATTGACATGGATGACGAAAAGATTGGAAAGCAACAATATGAGGAGATAAAGGCCAAGGAGCAGCTCAAGAAGAACACCGGGAAGATGGCGAAGATGATGGGTGCAAATGCAAAGGTGGCCCTGGTGATTGCTTTGTCATTGCTACAAGGCCAAGGAGCGGAAATTGAGCACCCAGAAGAAAGTGAAGATGGAAATGATGAGGCTTGGTGGATTCGGCCATTGATCACCATGATCTGTTTGGCAAGCATTGGGGCCTTGAGCCTGGCACGAATGGCCATTGGGGCTATGAAAACATGGTGGCATGGAAGACGAAGCCACGGACAGCCCATCGAGGAGAATGAGAGTGAAGAAGATGAGAATGTGGTCACAAGACCGCGTGCGAGAAATGAGGCAGGCACAGATGAAGAGAAGGTCAACATGCAGTGGCAAATCGTTCGCTTGGAGGTAGCCATTGCTGAGCAGGAGGAGAAGCTGGCAGATGTCCGACGAGATCGAGACCTACAGGCAAGAGAAGTTGTGCGCATGTACAACATGTGCTCAGAGCTGCGCTTCGAGCTGGAGAATGTCAAGGAAGAAAAGGATGAAGCCAAAAGAAAGGCCATTAGGTTGGCCGGAACAGATGATGAGAAAGCAATGGAAATGGAGAGAATGGCAGAAGACACTGCCAAGGCCTGGGAAGTGACCGAGCTGTGGAAGAAACGAGCAAAAGAAGCTGAACAAGAGGCCAAGCAGCAGATGACTGAACTGCTGCGGAACACACGTTTCACCTTAGAACGACAACATTGGCATATGGCAAGGACGAGCGTGTGCTACCATCACGAAGGATGCGGGCACTTGGCCAACAGCGCCACGACACGCACAATAAAGCCATGTGCACACTGTATCCCAGACGCTATACGAGCGGTGTTAGAACATGAAGCATTTCCAATGAACACATAGCGTGCTGGGATACATGTAGCTGTACGCCATGCACATAGGCCCAAATCAAGGTGTCCAAAACGGTGCGCTTTACTTTTCATTGTTACATAATTAAAGTTGGTTGTGTTCTTCACATCTCTGAAATTAAAGTAGATTACTCCAACATTTGGAGGGAACATTGATACACACTTTGTGAGTCTTGGAACCACCATCGCTTCCAGATTTCCACTTTTTTGCTTCTACAAAAGCCGAGGTGTGCTAACGCTTGGACTCTTTTTTGTTTGGGTCCTGTTGCCGGAGCCAGAACTTGCGCCTTCATTGCACATCCTCCTAGTCTGGCCAAGGGAACACTTCGCAGGATGTCTATTGCTTACATGATGTCATACAGTGGGGCTGGTCACAATCTCAAGACTGAAGAAAAAGCAACCGAGACACCTAAAAAAAACACTGGGCCTTGTGGCTGCCTTTGTTCAGCTTTGGGCACTGAAGTCGCATACAAAGCTGAAATAGATGACCGAAGATTTGTGTAGAAATCGCAGTTGGTGTGATGAACTTCGCACCAAGAGCAATCAGAGTTGACCGGAGCCTTACCGGAATGAGCGACTTCAGCTCCAGCAAACTTTGCAGCGCAGGTCGGCTGGATGTGTAATCATTTGCGCCATGTAACGGCGCAATTCCTCATCGAGCACTTGGACTTGAGCTGGAAAGATGGTATCTTGACAGAAATGTGCGTCGCTTTGCGCAGAAGACTGCCAGCACCATGTGGTCATATGCGACATGTTGCTGGAACTGCCAAAGGCTAAGGGCGTCCAACCATGCACCAATTCATGAAAAGATGTCCACAAATGTAGCCATCCAGGAGCCCTAAGACTCTTTCCTAAGCAATTTTGCTTGTACTGTATATATAAAACCATAATGTGCAATATATATATACTGAATAAACTTGTACTAGCCAACCGCTGGCCCATCTATTTCCCAAGTAAGTTGTTTAGTTCCCGAAAGCATTGCGAAGGGTTCTTCCGGAAAATCCTTTGAACACTGACACTTCGACACTTACACTTCGACACTCACACTGACACACTTACACTTCGACACTCACACTGACACACATACACACACACACA